CACGGGAGCACGCGTGCCCGCTGTTTGGCACAGCTGCCACGCCAGGGTCTCCGGGCTCTCGGCTGGCCGCTCTGCCCCGCCCGCCCCCGAGCGCTGGGCATCGCTCGGGTGTGCGCATGTTTACCTCCGGCGAGGACCCTCGAGGCGCATCCTGGAGCCTTTGTGCATTTTTCCTTCGGCGAGGACCATCGAGGAGCATCCTGGACCATTTGGGGGAAAACCAAGCACGAAACCGAACAAAACCACAGGGAAGGGACGTCCGAGCGATGGCGAGAGCGGCAGGCGCCCCCCGCGCCGCGCGCCCCCCCGCGCCGACGCCGCCCCTGCGCAGAGGCCGCGGCGCCAGGCCGCCCGGGGCCGCGCCGCAGGCGCTGAACCTGCACCGCTGCGAGCTGGTGCCCGCCGAGTACCAGCCGGGCCAAGTGGCGGCCCGCGCCTCGGGCGGCCTGCGCGGAGGATCTTTCGGAGGAGGAAGTCAATGCGGGCAATACTCAGAGCGTGAGTTACCTGCCCCGCTTTCGCTTCCAGGCAAAACCAAGTGGTGCCACGCGCCTCCCAGTTAGGCGGGCCTGACCAGCGCATGCTGCAATTTGGCATCGTTTGGTATCTCTTGGAAGCGAGGGTGGTCAAAAGCGAGGTAGGTCTGTTTTCCCCCTAAACACTTATATCCATATCCAGATTGTCTTGGAATGTTGGGGAAGGGGTACCGCAAGGCCGAGTCGCACCGGACATGGATAAACATCGGGCCTTTGGGGGCCAGGTGTTTATCCGTATCCAGTGCGCCTCCAGCTTCTGAGGAAGGTAGCCCAAAACTCCAAGACTCGGGCAGCGTGCTCGGAGGATCTCCGGAGGATCAAGGAAACGTACGACTCGAGTAAGTCGGAACGCGGGTTTGCCGACTTTTTGACGAGCGCGTCCTGGATTTTGGCGGTCCCGTTTTCGTGGGATGTCTGCAGCGGGAGCCCGCGTCAAATTTCAGATTGGGTCTCGGCATTTTTATGATGACCCCGTCAGGTCAACCCGAGTCCCCCGTACCCGAGTCTTGCGTCTCCCCGAGAGGAGGAAGTCAAGCAGTGGCGAGGCGTCCCGGCTCGCGCTCCTGGCTGGGCCCACCGAACAACGTTTTGAGAGCCTTTTCGAGGTCTTGGAACGACACGTTTTTGGAACGTTTCTGGCCAAGACCGTCTTGTTTTCACTCGTCGGGTTTATGCTCTAAGATCATTGTTTTCGTTATTCGAACATTTTGAGCATCTAAGAGCATCTCGTGGTAGGACTATAGGAATGCCGGGTCGGTCGGTCCCTGCTCAAGGAAATTCATGCCGAACAGAAAAACCCCTAACCCTAATATTCAATCGGGTATGGCCCTCTGCAGGAGGAAAATTCAGAAATAGTCAAAACATTGTCTGGGGACGATGTTTTTTTTATTTTCTTCTGAAAATGTAGTGTTGGCTATGTTTTCTAATTTCCTTTCAAAATCCGCCTGTAGGAGTACATGCCCGACCGAACCCTAATAACACGATGGAGACGTGGCCTTACTTAGGTCCTCATTTTCTCGTTAGGGGCACTTGATCTGTGCGGTCTGGCCTGATACATCTGCAGAATATACTCGCTATCCGTAATGTTCCAGGCCCTCCTGACTTAGGTCGCCACCCAAAGGGTTCGGTGTTTGTTGTGCCTACTCAGAAAGCATACGCCTGCAGAACAGACTCGCTATCCCTACTGTTCCAGGCCATCCTAACGTAGGTCGCCTCCCAAAGGGTTGGGGGTTCTGTGCTGCCTACCCAGAGAAAATACACATACAAAGGATAAGCGGGAGCGCAATGCAAAGGAGCAGACCGAGCGCACGGCGAAGGCTGCGGGCAAGATGTAGATCCACGCTCGGAGCAAGAAAAGGCAGCCATACCGCCGCCCTTCCCTCGCTTTCCCCTGTCTGGGCCTCCTGAGAGGCTCTCGTCGCCACCGCCGGATTCGCCTATAAAGTTTGGCCAGAAAGCGCCGCGGTGAGAGGTTCCGGGGGTAGCGGTATGGGTACCGTTTGGTTCTCCCAGATCTCAGACCCCGAGACCCCGGCGTGTCCACTGTTTCGAGTCGGGCGTCCTCGCCCCTTTTCGGATTGGGGTTCTCGCAGATCGATTTGGCTCAAGAAATGATGCAGACAGGTCAGGTGGGGTAGAAGGTCCCAGGTTTGGTCTTTCACACGGTTGCATTGTTTTTGTTCTACGTCGGGTGTCAGGGGAAAGGACATCTCCCCCCCCCTATCCCTGGGTTCCGCCCGAGAAGTTTGGCCTCTCAGAAAAAAAGGGGAAACATTTCTCCTCCTCATCCTGCTCCCTCCCTCACCTCCTCTTCCGCCCTTCTCATCCTTACACTCCTCCTCGTGCTTCTCCTCCTCCTGCTCCTCCTTCTCCTCCTGCTCCTCCTCATCTTGTTCCTCCTCTATCCACCCCCTCCCCCTTCACCATTCTCCCCTCCCTGTAATGGCGATGGATGGGCAGAGCCTTCTAGGAACGGAAAAAAAGGTGGACCGTTGTTAAAAAGCCCCCCGGCGGTGCCTCTGGCGTAGATCTACGACATCCGCGCGTAGCGCCAAAAGTGTATTTGTGTTGCAGTTTTGTCTTCTTCTATCGGCTCGCTTTCGCCAGCTGCTTTAAAGCTCAGACAGAAACGAAACCTGTCGTTTCGGTTTCTCCAGAACGCCGACGCGAGCTATTCGAGCCGCCTCAGGCCTTGTTCTTTAGCGCGCCCTCTGTCCGACAGGGCTGGGACGAGGATAACTCCGTTCCGGAGCGTTCTGGAATACTCAGAGCGTGCCGGAGCGCTCTGAGAAGGCCGTGCGGCGCCCGAGACATCCTCCAGAGCCGCAGGATCTCAGAGGCTCTGGATTTTCAAGGGAGGACAGACCACCTGGACCCGACACTCGGCATTAGCGACCAGGCCCTGGGCGTTCACTGAACAGCCCTGCCCTGCTTGACTTCTTCTCTGGGTGCGTGCACGGCACGACTGTTCGCGTGTCGGGGTGATGATTGTGAGGGTGGATGCTCCTGCTCTCTGGGTCTGCCCTCGCCCGATCTTATAACCTCGCCCTGGCTCCGCCTTCTGCTCTGCCGGTCCTGGTCTGCTCCTCGCGTCTGGACGCCCGAAATGGGTACCGAAAGAATGGGTACAATGCCCAACAGCAGTTCCTGTTCATTTTGAACAGGCCTCGCTGTCCACGCCGCCGCGGCCCGTGCCCATTCGAGACTGGAGGCCGCCTGCCCAACAGCGGCCGCTGTTGGTTTGGGACAACATTTGCTGTTGGGCATCGTACCCATTTTTTCGGTACACCTTAGGCGATGCTTAAGAAAACTTACGTTTTCGGTCAGAATCTCGATGATTCTTGAAGTTTCAATGTAAATCTTAAGATTTTGATAGACATGTTGGGTTTCTATTCAAGTTCTGAGACTATGAATTTCTTAACCCATGTTTTCTTAAGCATTTCGCAGGGTGTACCCATTTTTTCGGTACCCATGTCGGGCGTCCAAATCGCGCGCCCGCGCCCGCGCCCGCGGGCCCCGGCGCTGTGGAGAGGTCGGCGGGGCGGTGTTCGACCGCAAGGACGCCGCGCCCCGGGCGCCCCCGCCGCGGGCGCGCGCGCTCCGCCCTGCGGCGGGGTCGGCGGTGCGAGGGGCCTCCTCCCCTCCCTCCTCCTCCTCCTCCTCCTCCTCCCCTCCTCTCTCCTCCTCCTCCTCCTCCTCCTTCCCTCCTCCTCCCTCCTCCTCCCTCCTCCTCCTCCTCCTCCTCCTCCTCCTCCATCCCCCCTCCCTCCATTCCTCCTCCTTCTCCTCCCCCTCCTCCTCCTCCCTCCAGTCCTTCTCCTTCTGGCTAGCTCCTTCCTGTCGCAACGCCGAGGCCAGTCGGAAGGGCGGGTCGGGGGGGGGGGGGAGGGCTCATCGGGCGTCTCGGGCAGCAGCTCGGAGGAGGGAGGACGTGGCCCAGAAGGGTGGAGGTTGGAGGTTCGCAGACTTTCTGGCTCTCGGCGGTTTTCCAGCCTCGGGGTGCCTCCCTGCGGCTGCGCCTCGCCGAGAGCGTGCCCAGGGTGCCGAAGTCGTTCCCGGGCGGCCGCTTCAGGGTCGACCTGCTGCCCGAAGCCCTGAGGCCTCTTGCAGCGTTGCGACACCCCAGCCCCCAGCTTATCGCCGATGCGGGTCCTATTGCATGCCCGGCCCAGGAACGTGCGATTTCGCCAGCGATCACTGGAGACAACAGTATCACTACCACGGGCTAGGGGGTTGGCTGTCCCTCCCTCTCGAGCTGGTGGCACCTCGTGCCAGGCATGCCTCCAGAGACTTCCCGGCAGGAGGTGCCACCAGCTCGAGGGGAGGGAGCGGCCACCCCCCTAGCTGGTGGTAGTGGTGCTTTTGTTGTCTCTCCTGAGTCGGGAGCCCAGGGGCTGCACCATCTTCGGCATGCGGCGGGTGTCGGCCCCGCCGGGCACGCAAAAAGCGGGCCGGTCTGCGCCCTTCTTGGCGCGCAAGCCGCCTGCGTAGGGCCGCACGAGAGCTCCCTCGGCTTCACTGTGGCGTGCTGCGCTGGCGGCCCGCGCAAGCCACCGCGCAAGGTCGGTGTGGCGTCTCTCGCGTAAGACCCGTGTTTGATCGTCGCTCGTGTGCGCCTCCGTCGCCGAGGGGCGCCAGGGAAACTACTCACGAGAGCTGGATCGGTGGACCCCCCCCTTGTACTCCCGGCGTACCTCCTCCCGGTAGTCCAGCCCCCCTCGTTCGCCCGACCCGAAGGGGAGGACGGGTGGTCGATCGTAGAGGCTCGAGGAACGAGCAGCGTGGCTCCTGGCTCGAGGATCGAGTCTCAATCATCGAGGATCGAGGCTCGAGGTACGAGGATGGAGGCTCGAGGTTCCAGGATCGAGGCCCCCAGAAGGAGCCTCCAGAGTGGGGCTTCTGGGAGCCCCCCCTGCCGTCTTGGCAGCCCCCCCCCTGGCGCCCCGAGAGAGCGCCGGCCTCGCGCGCGGGCCGCCGGCAGGGCCGTTCTGGTCCAGCCTTGCCCTGCTCATCCGCACGTTGGCTTGACCCACAGCAGGACCTCCTCCTGATGCAGCACAAGCTTCTGGAGACGGCGCAGGCCGCGCTGCAGCATCGTCTCGGCTTCTTGTCGCATGTCGCCGCAGCCGCCGCCGCCGCCGCCGCCGACGCCGCCGTCGTCGTCGTCGTTGTCGTCGTCGTCGTCGCCGGCGTCGTCGTCGCCGCCGTGGTTGTCGTCGTCGTCGTGGCAGGGTGTCGTCGTCGCTCGACATCGTCCGTCGTCCTCGGCAGACGTCGCCTTCGGCCGTGGCCCTCGTCGTCTTCGACCGCCGCCGCCCGCGGCCGCGGCCGCCGGCCGCCCCGCGCCCTGGGCCGCCGCGGCTGGCGCTCGCCCCGCGCCGCCCGCGGCCCGCCGCCGCGGGCCGCCGTGCTCGTCGCCGTGGCCGCTCGGCCTCCTCGCCGCCGCCGCCGCTGCGCGCGGCGAGGCGGCGCTGCAGCACGGGCCCCTGTCGGAGACAGGCAGCGCCCACGCGGCGCCGCCCGTGCAGGCGGCCGTGCGGCGCGCGCTCCGTCGTGGTCGCCGCCGCCGCCGCCGCCGCTCGTCGCTCGTCGTTCGTCGCCCTTCGTGCTTCTCGTGTCGTCGTTCGCCGTTCGTCGTGCGTCACCGCCTTCGTCGTTCGTCGTGGTCGTCCGTGGTTTGCGTCTGTTGGTAGTGGTTGTTCCCGGTCGACGTTCGTCGCCGGGGAAGGGAAGATGAGGATGAGGGACGAAGTGTGCGAGGGAGGTGGAGGGGTCGGCAGGAAGAGTTTGGAAATGGGGGGAGGGGGGAGAGAGGAAGAAAGTGGAGATGGAGGGAGGAGGTGGAGGACGAGGAGGAGGAGGACGAGGAGGAAAGATGAGGAGCAGGAGGAGGAGGAGGTGTAGGAGGAGGAAGGGAGGTTGACGGGCTGGGAGGAGGACAATGGAAGACAGGGAGGGAGGTGTGCGTCGAGCGGTGCATGGACTGGCACCGGCACCCTTGGTGCCACCCCGATCTCTTGCTAGTAGCGGTGGCTTTGAAGCTACAGATTCCGAGTTGGCTGCGCGAGTTGAGTGCTGCCCTGCTGCCCACGCCACCCACACCGCTCACGCCGCTGTGGGCGATACGGTCGGCAGGTCATGTTGCGCATCATCATGCGAGAGGCCATGGCGCTTTATAATCATGCCAGTGTGTTAGTGGGTGGCTCCCTGCTCGGCGTTGCGTGCTCATCACAGCAGTCGTGGTGATCCCTCATGGCCAGCCCCCTGGCCGATGTTGGTCAGATGCCCCTACCTCCCCTTCCTCGGCCCGTCTTTTACCACCCACCAAACCACCCCACCCCAACCCAAAGGCCCCAATTTGTCCTCCGTTCCCAGCGGGGGGGGGCGCCGGGTAACAGACAAAACATGTGAAACCCGTACTCCCCGCAACCAAACATTTGGGTCTTCGGGTTGGATTGGGGTGGTCTGGTAGGTAGTCAGTCTTGACCACGAGGAGGAATTACCAGGCTCTTGCATGCTGGGGAAGTTCTCGAGGGGGAGCTGTTGGTTGGTGGCCGTGGCCAGAGTCACCTCGAGAGCGCTGACGGTGTCCAGGGGCCGTTTTTGTGCGAAAGTGGATGGGTCAGCCATAGCCACTGGCGTCGAAGACCCCCCCCTTGGCGATACCTTTTCGCCGCCCCCCCCCCCCCCGCGCCCCCACCTTGGGAACGCGCAGCCACCGCTGGTGACCCAGGCCCTTGATTGTACCGCACCCTTGACCCGCTGGACTCGTTCTGGCACTGCACTGCGCGCCGCCGCCGCTGGAACCCTGGCGCAGCAGCCGCCGCCGTCCCTGCCGGCGGGGCCGGCCGCGCCACTCGCTCCAGGCGTGACCCGTCCCCCTGAGCGGCCCTCGCCTTTTTCCCCCTCCCCTTCGGCCGCCCGCCCACCTCTTGTTCCCTACCACTTGCAGTGTGGTGTTATTTGCTGCAACGGTCCCCCCGTTTAGCTAGCTCATCCGCCAGCGAGGCGCCGACGCAAAAAGCGTGCTCACCGCGCTCAGGGCGCCTAGCCGCCTGGCCTTGCAGACGCCTGCAGCCGACGGGCCCAGGAGCACGAGCATCGCGATGGGGGCCTCGGAGGGCTCAGGCGTCATGGCAGGAGGCCGAGACAGAAAGTACATTGCATATCCCCGCGTGTTTGAGCAGGCGTGTGCGACAATACATAGCGCTTCCTACCCTGACTGCCCCAACGTGCCCCCGAAAGCTACCATCGATGAACTCATTCGACAAGGAAGGAGGGGCCGGGCAATGCGCGGGGGGGAAATTAGGGCACGGAGGAGGAAGACGGCGAGGGGGCGGTGCGGAGGAGCATCAGGAGGAACGGGGGCCCCGCGGAGGCGCGGGGGGATCAGTCGACGCCGACGAAGTTGACGACCTGAGCGGTGTCGACGTCGGCGCCTTCATGCGCTCGCCCGTGCGAGCCCAGGCGGGGCGGCAGCGCAAAGTGCTCGGGCCGGAGCCCGCCCCCGGCGCCGGCGCGGCGGCGAAGTACGCGGCCGCGGAGGCGCCGGACGGCGCGGACCGCTCTTCGGCGCCGATGCATCCTCCCCCTCCTCCTCTTCCTGTTGCTCCTCCCCCTCGCCCCCCCCTCCTCCTCCTCCTGTTCCTCCTCCTGTTCCTCCTCCTCCTCCTCCACCTCGTCCTCTTCTTCTTCCTCCTCCTCCTCCTCCTCTTCCTCCTCCTTCTCCTCCTCCCCCACCTCCTCCTCCTCCTCCTCCTCCTCCTCTCTTCCTCCTCCTTCTTCTCTCTCCTCCTCCTCCTCCTCCTCCTCCTCCTCCTCCTCCTCCTCCCCCTCCTCCTCATTCCCCTCCTCCTTATCACCCTCCTGCTGCTCCTCCTCCCCCTCCTCTTCCTTCTTCTTTGAAGGGGGCGCAAAACACCCCGATCGGAGGTTGCTAAATGTGCCCTCGCGCCGCCTCGCCGATGCACCGGCGATGCGGATCGATGCGGCGCCCGAGTTTCTCCGCGCCGGCGTGGCCGATGCGTCGCCCGCGTCGACGACGCATCGCCGCCGCATCGCCGCCGCATCGCCGATGCATCGCCGATGTAGCGGCGATGCGTCGCGATCCCCCGACCCAATCTACTCCGACCCCATCCAGGAGGCCTCCATAAAAAAAAGGTGCCCCTGGGGAAGAGGTGGAGGCCAGGCCTGCTCGCAGCGGGGCCACACATGGTGCATGAGCAGCTGCACGGCATCAGCCTGCACACACATGCACAGCATGTGCAGCGTCGTCATGTGTGGCGGATGTGCCTTGTGGCCCCACCGTGCCAGGCCTCGTGCGCAAACGCAGACGTTGTCAGTTCACATCTGGTGTGTCTGCGTATAGGTATATGAGTTCTGACGTGTGTGTGTGTGTGTGTGTGTGTGTGTGTGTGTGTGTGTAGAAGCACAGGCACATAGTATGTACACGTATGAGTTGTATGCTCATGTTGTATACAAATGTCTATATGTGTCGTATGTACATTTATACACACATATATATATGTGTGTATGCATGTCTGTATGTATGCATGCATGCATGTGTGAATGTATGCATGTCTGTACGGATGTATGCATGTATCTACGTCTGATTGGGCAATATATCTGGCAAACACTGGCACACACGCGCGGGCCCCAGCGCAGATCCAAGAAATCTGCGTGGACCGTCGGCAGTTTATATTTTTCTTTCTCTTCTGTGAAGGCCAACCTTATCCACCAAAGGCATCCTCCGCACTGAAGGCTAAAGGAATCCCTGGAGGCACATTCTGCCCAAGTCAAAAATGTTCGGCGGGAGCCCTTTCGAAGTGAGTGGACGGAAGCCATTTTCCTCCTGACAGGAATCTGCGTCGTGGCCCCAGTCCCGGGCCTGGCGGGTAGCGTGTAGCTGCGTGAATTCGGCAGCCGGCAGTCAGACTCTAGAGACATCGTGCTGTGGACGTTTGTTGGTGCGTCGCGAGTTCCCTTTCCCTCCCTTCCCTTTCTCCCCCCCTCCCGAAAAGATCGCGCTTGACATAGCAGTGTTTGCTGACGTGCTTGTCATTAACAGAGTTTCTGTAATAGCAGACGCGTGCCATCGATCCTCGGTCGACGCCGTCGCCCCTTGAGCCTCCACCAAAACCTTGCAAACGGGGCCATAGTACACGGGGTGGGAGCGAGAACGGGGTGACAGGGAATTCTTGCCGCTTCGCGCAACCCCACCAGCCACGCATACTCCAGGCGCCCTGGAGAGACGCACGGGAACCACAGCCATCCCGAGGCGATTCGAGCGACCCCATGAGGGGCATCCCCATGTATATGTGCCCGGTCGCGGACGCTGACGCTACGAAGGACGAACCTGTACAGGAGAAGATAATACGCCTGCAAAAGACACTGGGAGGAGCGTTTCATGGAGTTTGGGCCGCATGGGTGAAGAGGGCTGCCGTGAGGCAGGGAGCCAGCGGGACTCGAAAAACACGACCCCAAGCGGAACACCGTGCAGTCGTGCAGCGAATTCATCCAGGCGTGGGGCAGCGCAGGGTACGACGCATATCGGATGGACAGAGACCTAGAGCTCAACGTCCATTGGCCAACGGTCAAGGACAAGCACACGAAGCTCCTGCAACGCGAGCCCAGACCCCACACGCAGCGCGGGCCCGACAGCAGCAGCGGCCCCGCCCCATGTACTAAAGAGGGCAAGGCAGCGACGGCGGCGGCCCCGCAGGAGCAATGGGCGGGTGCCGTCGGCTCCGCTAACCCCAACCAGTGGCAGGGATGGCAGGATTGGGTTTCTTGGAGCCACCAGGGAACACCTTGGACGGAGACTGACTGGAAAGCGAAAGGGAAACGCTACTCCCCCAGGGGAGACGACCGATACACCGACAAGCGCGCACGATGGTGGGACAGAGACGACTAGTGCGCCAAGGGCTAGCAGGGGCGGGCCCGCCCGACGGCGTGCCCTCCGCTCCCCCGGCCCAACGACGGCGACACCCCCTCTCAGGCGCTCGCCGCTCTCTCCCCGCCCGGGACAGTTTCACCTTGCGGCGCCCGTCCGTGGCCGTAATACCCGGGGCAACTCCCGCTGGGGCGGGGGTGTCCCCACATTTCACCCATGGCGCAGCATAGCTAGACAGCCCACACTGGACAAGTGGACCCCGCTTGGCCATCTCACCCCCCCTCGGCAGATGGGGGTGAGCCCGCAGGCATCACCGGCCGGAGGCCACCAGCTGCCTTCTACGGCGGCAGCCTGTTTTCTAGGGGACGGGACGGCCGCAGACGCATCCCCGCGCTCCCCCCCTTTGCTGTCTCGCTCGGCAGCCGCTTTGGATGGCTGGGGGCTGTCGACTGGAATAGTCTCCTCCCCGCGCACCACTCAGCAGGGCAGCGGTCTCTGTGCAGCCCACACCACCCCCCTACATCCTATGCTCTGTGCGAGCTGCTACCAAGACATGTGTACACTGCGGCTGTTGGCTGCACCCCCCCTCCACTATGTGGTCAGATTCAGCCCTGGCTGCGTTCCAGCGCTCCATGAGCTGGTCGCGGCAGCTGTGGATCTCGGCGACATTCGTGGCCGTTACCTGCGACGTTGCAGTGTACCGGCTCTTGGGCCAGAGCGAGTTCCCTCTCATCGTTGCAGCCCTGGCCAGTGACTGGCTTCGGATACGATGACCGTCACGCCGGCCCCCCCCAGAGCAGCGGTGTGGTTCGTGGAGTGAGTGCTCTGTAGTTTCCTGCCGTTCCTCTGCCGCTGTTTCCCCGCCGACCCCACGTACGGTTGTGGTGTCCGTGGACTTCGCGTTGAGTGGTTCAGCCTTCAGCGACGTCGTTCCCGTTTTTCACTGCCTGCTGTCGGCCTGGGGAGCTGCTCGGAGCTTGGCGCCGCCAGGGCCACTGCCTCCGTTGCATTCGCACTGCTGGCCGCTCGTTCACTTCGGTGTGGCCGGCGCCTATGTGCGTCTGCCGTTCGAAGGCGGAGCATTTTGCTCAGCGCATGTGCACCTCACGCATCGCGTGTAATTTGCCTTGTTCGGTAGACCCCGACATCGCTGTTGCCGCCAGACCGTGGTCGCGCGGCCGCCGACCAAAAAAACAACCCCACCAGCCGTTCAGCTGCTAATTAGGCCGCTGTCGTGGCCCGTGGCGCTTCTGACTCCGCTAGCGCCTTCGCTGGTGGACGCGACCGAAAAAGGTAACCCCACCAGCCAATCCAGAAACGATGCCCAAAGGAATTGCCTCGATCAGGGAAGTGGTCAGCACACAGAGGAAGGGTCCTCTTGGAGCGCCTTGGGGTCCTCTTGGCGGTCCCAGGCGCCTCTTAGAGCGTCTTGGGTGCCTCGATTGCTTCTTGAAGCCTCTTGGTGGTCTGTTGGGAGCCTCTTGGAGGCCTCTTCGGCGCCAGTTGGGGCTTCCTGGGGCCTCCTGGGCGCTCTTGGATTGATTGTCGGAATTTGTTGGAATGATTTGGGCCTCTTCGGAGCCTCCTGGGGGAGTTCCTTGGCCACTTGGAGCCGTCTTGGAGCGGTCATGGGGCCTCTTGGAGCATTGTGTGAACCATATTGAGGCATCTTGGGATATTTTGAGCCATATTGGAGGTCATCTTGGGCTCCCCCAGGCGCTCTTGGAGTCATCTTAATCAGTGCCCCCCGCACCCAGGAGGCCAACATTCTGCCAACACCTACGTACACTCAATGGTTTTAGCGTTATCGCCGAGTTTTTTTTGGAGCGTTTTGGGTGCCTTTGGGGGGCCTCTTGGGGGTCTCTTGGAAGCTTCTTGGGGGCATCCTGGGGGCCTCTTGGGGCCTCCTGGCCACCTCTTGGGGCCCTCTTGGGGCACCCTTGGGAGCCTTGGGAGCGCTCCCGGGGCCATTTCAGAGAAATCGATCAAACAAAAGGAGATCATTAATTAGCGTCGCCCCCCCAGAAGGCCAAACTGGGGCCAAAACTTAAGTAAAGCAAAATCAATGATTTTGGCTCCCTCGCCGAGGCCCATTCGGACGCCCCGACGACTCGCGGAACCCCTTTGTCCAGGTCCACGGGGAGGGGGTAGGGGGAGGGGTAAACCCCTCCCCGAAGGGGAAGAAGGAGATGTGGAAGAGGAAACGCCCGAAGCCACCGACGCCCAGAGGGCTGGTGGTATTTGCCTCTCGCCGGTGCTACATTTGGACGACAAACAAACCGACGACACATCGTCATCACTCTGGGCGGGGGGACTTACCTCGCACTAACGCGCGGCGAACCAATTGTTTGAAAACGCTATTGAAAACGTACCCTTAGCTACCGGCCCGTGTTGGAACGCCCAATTTCAATTTGATCATCCATGCGCTACGCTCGAACATGCCGTGGCCAACGTCAGTCGAAACGCCACTGCCCACGAGCATATCAAGCTTACGGAGGATGGGCGAGGGATAGCAGGTGAGGTTCGATTCGGTCGTCCTCGAAAGCGCGAGCCACGCTCGCAAGCTGTCGGGCGAGTGCCGCACCCGCGGAGGCACGACAGCCGAACCCGACCTCGGGGCACAGGACTCGAAGGCACACGAACGCCCCGTTTGCAGGGGTTCGGCTCCAGCCGCCGCCCTCCCGCGGGCGCGCGCGGTCGCCGCCGCCGCCGCCACTCAGAAGCCAGGCGGAGGCTGGCAAACCCGCGGTTGCTAAAACAGAGCTCTGCTGATTGCCCTTCGTGGAAGCAGCCCGTTCACTTTTGGCGCGCCGGGTTTGCCTCAGGGCAAACTCGTCCTGCTTCCTTCCGATAAGACCGCTTGTCCCGCCGCGGATTTGCCAGCCCTCGCCCAGCTTCCGAGCCACGCGCCCTCCCCCACCGCCCACCAAGCCACCCCAGCCCAACCCGAAAGCCCCGGTGTGCCCTCCACTTCCACCCGGGGGGGGCGTCGGGGAACCTTGGCAAAACACACGCGTGAAACGCGCCCCCCCCCCCAGCCCGAAGTGCGGGTCTTCGGGTTGCGTTGGGGTGGTCCGGTAGGTGGTCGCTCCCCACCGCGCGCGCGCGACCGACCGCCCCCGACCGCTTCGAGAGCCCTCCAGGCCGCGCGCCCGCGGCCGCCTCGCGCACGCGGCTCCTCGGCCCGCGCCGCCGGGGGGCTTTTTCTCGAGGCCTTTCTGGGCTCCGCCGCCGCTCGCCTCGGCCATAGCTCGGGCGTGTGCACATTTTGTCCTCGGCCGAGGGCCCTGGAGGAGCACGAGCACCTCGGATCGTCTGTGAGAGCGCACGAGAGCGAGAACCCCCACGCACACACGCACACACACACACACAAACACACACACACACACACACACACACACACGGGAGAGGGACGTCCGAGCGACGGCAACGTCTTCGACTTTCGATCCTCGGGGGAGCACTTCGGATCGTCTTCGACGTGCAAGAGCGCACGAGAGCGAGGCCGCACGCGGGAGAGGGACGCCCGAGCGACGGTGGAGTCCTCGGCTTGCGCTCCTCGGCCCGCGCCGTGGGCCCCTTCGGGACCTTTTCTGGGCTCGGCCGCCGCTCGCCCCGGCCATCGCTCGGGCGTGTGGGCCTCCTGTCCTCGGCCGAGGGCCATTTGGAGGAGCAGCTCGGATCCTGCTCGAAGCATGCAGACAACCCGCACATTCGATGCTCGTTTTGGGGACCTTTCTGGGACCTACATAATGGCTCAAGTTCGACTCAACTTCGACTCAACTTCGACTCAGGTTCGACTCAGGTTCGACTCAAGTTCGACTCAGGTTCGACGCGGGTCGACGGACGTTCGACGCAGCTTCGACGAACGAGTGGAGCGAGTGGCTCCAAGAAAGTCCCCAGAACGATCGTCTAACGCACAGCAAGGATGGGCAGCCTTCCCAGGGCTACCTTGTGCATCCCTCCCCCTTCGGGCCATCCTTCGCGACGTCCGCGGGCCAAGCTCGTCAGAACAACGTTCCCGTGGGCCTCCAAGGAGGCGGCGGCCACGGAGGAGCACCTCCCGACGACGAAACAACAACGCCGCAAACATTATGATGTTCCAGCCTATGTTAGCCTTGATCACCCAAAAGAATTTCGAGTGCCAGGGAGAAGTGCCCAAACTGGAGGGTGTTTGCGTGTCGGGCCCTGGGAGGCGATATTCGTTCGACACTGTTTCGATACTTCTCGGGGTGCCCGAAATTATTTCTGGGATGTGGCCCTAAAGTACGATGGGGGCAACATAACACAAACATGCAATTTTGGCGCTCCGACCGGGTTTCTCGGATCCGCGCTGGGCCCCACCCTTTGGCGGCGCTTCTGGCGCCGCCCCTGGCGCGCACCGCGCGCGAGGGAGGGGAGTCCAGCGCAGATCCAAGAAACTTCCGCGGAGCACAAGAAGTTGATGTTCAGGTTTTGTTTTCTGATCTCGCATCATGTTCGAAGCATGAGAGCGCACGACATCGAAACACACACACACACACACGGTAGAGGGACGTCCGAGCGATGGCATAGCCGCGTGCGCGGTCGCCTCGACCTCCGATCCTCGGCCGACGCCGTCGGTTACGTTGCATCTTCGCGGGGCCTCGGCTGTCCCCCCAAGTTGGTGTCTCTCTCTCGAGCCCGACGCGGGCTCGAGGCGGCCTCGCCGCGGACCTGGCGCGCACTTGACGCGGGCTCGACACGGATGCGACGCGGAGCCGAAGAGGCCGACAGTGGCTCGACGCGGATTCGCCGCGGATGGGGCCGCGGCGGGACGGACTGCGGGCTCCCCCGAGGCTGCAGCGCTGCGTCGGCCCGCGGGCTCGGAGCCGCCCGCGCGCGCGACCTCGCCGCCAGGCGAGGGAGGACGGGCCCGGCGGGCGCCAGCCCGGCGGCAGCGAGCGGCAGCCGGAGGCGCGGGGCAACCGCCGCAGGACCCGCGGGCGGCTCCTCCTCTCGGACGGGGCTGGTCGGAGGGCACCACCTATACGCCAACACCGATCCTGGCCCAGGATCACCCTGGGCCCAGGATCGGTGTATATGCCTTCTTGCGCAAGGCAGGAGGGCGTATACACCGATCCTGGGCCCAGGGTGATCCTGGCCAGGATCGGTGTTGGTGTATAGTTGGTGGCTTCCTAGCTGGGATCTCGTCGGGCGTGTGCAAAGTCAGAGCCTTAACATGTGTCATCCGCCTCGCCTTCTTTTTGTCTCGGCATGGTCAACCGAAGAACTCCCTTTCTCTTCGCTTCTGCTCCTCAGGTGCCCCGCTCGCGATCCCCTCCCGCTCTTAATTATCCTTGGCCCCCCTGTTTCTATCCTTGGCCACTCCCTGCCCCGATTATCCGTCATTCGGATGGCCCCAGAGGTGGCCCTCGAGGCTTCGATGTCAGAGGACTGTTCAAGAATGGTTAAACAGAATAGACTGGGGACGATGTTCTAGTTCGTGGTGACTACTTGGTGTGAGTATTTCCGTGGACTATGTTTCCCCTGTCTTCAAAATCAGCCTGTAGGGGGACATGCCCGACCTGAGGCTGGGACGAGGATCAATCCGTCCCGGTGCGTTCCAGAATCGGGCCGGACGAAAGGGGGGGATTGGGAAAGGGGGGGGTACGAAATTTGCTGCATGCAGCTGGTTTCGGCCCCACCGAGGAGCCCATTCCTCGATACATGAGCGCCTCCGGCGCCGGGAGGCGCCGGGAAAATTAGCTACGTGAGCTGATTCTCAAACCCCCCCTTTGCTATCCCCCCCTTTCGCCCGACCCGACAGAAACCGAAGAAGAACCAACGGCATATGCAGAATCTGTCGGAGTTCCGCGCGGATTTCTTGGATCTGCGCTTGGGCCCCCCCTCTGGCGGCGTCTCCGGCGCTGGCCCTGGCGGGCTCCGCGCGCCTGGGAGGGGGGGTCCAGCGCAGATCCCAGAAGTCCGCGCGGGGCGGCAGCAGTTCATGTTTAGGAATACTTATTCTCCAAGAACGAGGCTCGATCCGATCCAGAAGGTTCCAGAACGCTCTCAGGACGTTCTGGGAGGCTCGGAGGAGGCCGCGGCGCCCGAAGCATGCTCCAGAGCTACAGGATCTCAGAGGTTCTCGACCTATCCTCACCCGATGTTCCTCGTCTTGGCTTCGTCGTCTGCGCGGCCGCCACTCGCGAGCGGCGAACACGTGAACTCCGTTCTGCTAGCAAATCAATGGGGGATTGCGTACCCTCGCCGTTTCGTCTTTAGAGTGCGCCAGCGTCGATCAGCGTCTGATACTAATAGATGATTTGCTACAGAGGAAAGACGCCGAAACGAAACATCGTTTTGGGTTCAGAAGGGGCTCTGGTTTCCAAGACGCTCCATGGACCAAGTTCGGGACGGCCTGTTCGTGGCCGAGGCCCGCAGTGGCCTGAGCAGTCCCCATCGTTCCTCTTTCGGCGTCCCTTGTGGTAGCACGATGGCTGTCATCCGCGCCCTCGTGGCCTGGATCCTGGGGTGCGATCCCGCAGGTACGGCAGGTTCGCGTCGCGTCGACCAGCGGCGACGCCAGCGCGGGTGCTGAAGGTTGAACGCCGCCCGTGGCCCAGAATCGACCAGGATGGAGTGATCTGGCGATCGAGAAGCCGCCGATCGTTCAAGGTGGAACCATCCCCGCGGCGTCAGACACCATCGCCACAGTCGGCACGACACCAAGCTGCCGTGCGCGGCCTTGCGGATGCGTTCCGCGCGGGGCATCCGCGAGGAGGCGCCCCGTGTCCTCGGGGCCTCGCGGCACCGGGAGGTCCGGCCCGCGAGGCCGCGGATGCGGACGTGTCTTTCGCTGCCCAGGACGCCTCCATCCGTCGTGCGTTTTTTTTGTTTTGGTGCTTTTTCGTGTGTGTGTGTGTGTGTGCGTGTGTGCGTGTGTGCGTGTGTGCGTGTGTGCGTGCGTGCGTGCGTGCGTGCGTGCGTGTGTGTGTGTGTGTGTGTGTGTGTGTGTGTGTGTGTGTGTGTGCGTGCGTGCGTGTGCGTGCGTGCGTGCGTGCGTGCGTGCGTGCGTGCGTGCGTGCGTGCGTGCGTGCGTGCGTGCGTGCGTGCGTGCGTGCGTGCGTGCGTGCGTGCGTGCGTGCGTGCGTGCGTGCGTGCGTGCGTGCGTGCGTGCGTGCGTGCGTGCGTGCGTGCGTGCGTGCGTGCGTGCGTGCGTGCGTGCGTGCGTGCGTGCGTGCGTGCGTGCGTGCGTGCGTGCGTGCGTGCGTGCGTGCGTGCGCGTGCGTGTGTGTGTGTGTGTGTGTGTGTGTGTGTGTGCGGGTGTGTGTGTGTGTGTCGTTGAGGGGGTTGGGGGTGCCCGCCCTCGGGCCGCCGGAGGCCCCGCCCGCCTGTGCTCTGCCTCCCCCATTCGAGCTCTGCGTGGCCCGCCCAGCTTTTGACCGGAAGAGGCTCGCTCTCGACCCGCAGACCAAAAAAGTGTGTCGTCGAGGGAAAACCCGTTCCCCTGAGCGTCCCCGGCCCGCTTCCTCTTCTGGGCCGTCGCTTCGTCGTCTTCCCCTCCTTCCCGGCACGGTGGCACAATGCGCTTAACGGCAGCCCCGTTCCGCCTCTGTCGCCAGCGCGGTGACCCTGCCTAGCCGCTGACGCAAAAAGTGTGTTCTTGGGGTGGACGAGATGGAGCGTCCCGCCTTTTCAATGGCCACGGGAGCTTTCACGAAAAGCATGTGGGATGGCCTTTGGGGGCGCAGTCATACCACGGCTGGTTCCCTCGAAATCGTTTGCCAGAGCGCAGTTGGGCTGCGTTCCTGCAGGAAAGGATCCCCCCAAACCTGTTCTGGGCTGCAGCAGCCAAGGACTGGTTCTGCGGGGGTGATTTCTTGGATCAAGGTCGTGGTCGTCATCGTTGCCACTGCGGCCGCCGCCGCCGCTGCTGACACTACCGCCGTCATTTTGTCGTCGTCGGCGTTCGCCTCCGTCGTCGTCGTTGTCGTCGTCGTCGTCGTCAACGTCGCCAACGTGGTCGTCGTCGTCTCCCGTCGGCGTCAGTGTTGGCGTCGCCGCTGGCGTTTTTGCTTTAAGTTCGAGGTTCGTCGTTTCTTTTGATTGCTGGCTCCGTGACCGTCAACATCCGATTCAGGCAGAACAGTCAGCCAGGACGGACCACTGCAGGGGTCAGGTGGCCGACTTTGGAGCGGATTTTGGTCGGAGGGTATTGTCGTCACTGTCGTCGTCGCTGTCAGCGTCGCCGTTTTGGAAGTTGCTAATGCTTTCGTGAAGGTTTTCGCGACGCTATTGAGTGGCGCGGCTCGAAACAAGCTCGTCGGGGCTTACACCAGGAGGAGTCCGTCGACACAGTTTGGGGGCGAACTTTGGTCGTCGTTGCGTTGGGGTCGTACACGGGGGTGTGCAGCCCCAGGACCAAGGTTCGAGGATGCACTGTTTGGGCGCTCTTGGGCCTCCACTGGCCTCGGGGGGTGCTCTCGTGGTAACGGCTGGGTTCGCCTCGAAATTTTGGTCGGAACGTGCCCCTAGGACAGTTTTGGTGTCGTCGTCGTCCGCCGCTCCATCTCACGTCGCCGCCGCCGCAGCCGTCGGCGTCGGCCTCGCCGTCGTCGTCGGCGTCGTCGTGCACCCTCGTCCACCGTCGTCATCATCATGCGCCTTCTCCTCGTTTTCCGCTCCCGCTGCTCGTGCCGCGGCTCACGGTCTTCTCTCGCCTGCTGGCGGTGTGGCTAGGACGTGTCCTCCTCTGATCGTTGTGTGTCGCCGTGGCGCTCATGGTGCAGAAGCACTACTGCCTCGTCCTGGCGTGTCGACGCCGGCGTAGGTCTCCGACGCGGCGTGGACCTTTCACTTCTGGAGCGATCGCGGCAGCCCGAGAGGTCACACGTCTCTCGGTGTCAGCCGATTGGGCGTTCAGCCTGGCCGCGCGCGAGGGTTAAATCAGAATGAGGGGACAGTCAGATCAGGCTCCTCACCGCCTGCTTGCAACCCAGTTCTAGGGAAACAAACAGTGACATAAACATTAAAACTCGGAGGTCCGCTCGGATTTCTCGGATCGGTGCTGGACCCCCCCTGGCGGCGCCTCCGGCGCCGCCCCTGGCGCGCTCCGCGCGCCAGGGAAGGGGGTCCAGCGCCGATCCGAGAAATCCGATCACGCCGAGGGTTCAATGAGAAGGAGGGGGAGTCAGACCTGGCTCCACGCCTGCTGCTTGCAACCCAATTTCCTCCTCCTGCTGCTTGCAGCGCCGAGGCCAGGGCGTGCCGTTCGCCCTGCCCGCCCGCGGCTCGTCTGCCCGCTGTGTGCGTCCCGGCGCGAGGCTCCGCTCGGCCGCCTGCCCGTTCCGCGGGCACGCTTTTTGTCTTGTCCTGGGCGACGGCAGCTCGCTCCTTGCGCTCTGCGCTCTACGCCTCCCGCGGACACGTCGGGGGCGGCAAAGAGGGGGGTGGTGACTAGGGTCAAGTCGGGCACGTCCCTCTACAGGAAGAGTGTTCAAACATGGCAACGGATTGTCTGGGGATGATTTGCCAACTGTTGTTGGCCATCTTTGCACATCCTTTGGCTATGTCGAACGAAGTGTTCTTTCAAAACCCGCCTGCAGGAGGACAGGCCCGACCTGAGACTGAGGGTGGGGTATCATGGCGTGGGCCATGATATTTCCTCAGAATTCATGGCGCCCCCTCTTATTCCAACACGTCCCCGGCCCCCCCCACCTGGGCCGCGCACCTGCCGCCGGCCAAGATTTACGGCCCCCCCTCTTGGACGCCCCCCTCTCGGCCGCCTCCGAGACGCCCTGTCCGCCCACCGCCAGGCCAGCGAGAAAACCTCCGGAGCCTCTACGGCCGACGCGGTCCGGTGAAGAGACCACTGTCAGGAGGGAAAGAAACACACAGACACAATTAATCGTCGACTCCCAGGAAAATATGCAAAAATATGGGAAGTGGGGGGGGAAGACAAAAACAAAAAAATATGGGAAAATATGAAGGGTATTTTTATTTGTGTGTATTTATTTGTGTGTCCTGGGGCCCCTTCACACTGCGCCGAGGGTCCCACAGGCAAGCCTTTTCTCCGCGCCTCGCCGCGCGCGCCCGCCAGCAGCACCGCACCCTCTCCCAGGCCGAGCCGGGCCCTCGTGCCGCGAGGACCTGCCAGCCGCGGAGGCTTGCGGCCTCCACCTCCGACGCCTCCGACGCGTCCCGCATCCCACGCGCCCAGTCGCAACGGCCGCTGATCCCCGCACGCGCTCGTTCCCTCCAGCCGGCGGCCCGTTCGGTGTGCATCGGGGACCGCGGTGGCCCGCATCCCGCCCCTTTTCCCGGAAAGGGCTGGGGCCCAGGGTTCTCTTTTAGTTGGTAAACCTGACCCCCGGTGCCAACTTGAAGGAGGCCGGCGGATTTTTTCCCTGATAAATATCGAGGTCGAAGGAGGCCGGCAGATTAAAATTTGAGGATGTCTCGAGCGAAACGCTTGTTTTTGAAATCCCGATCGATAAATCACAGGGTGCGGGCCACTTTTTGTGTTGAGGATGTCTCGAGCGAAACGCTTGCTCCGCAGAGTTTGCCGAGGATGTCTCGAGCGAAACGCTTGTTTTGCAGAGCCGACCGCGACGCGGAAAAGCGCCCCGCGCGAAGGAATTTCGATGATGTCTCGACTAATTCGTTTGTTTTTGTACGATTTCCTGGAATTTTGGCAGGATGTCTCGAGCGAAATGCACGACCCCACCCTAGCACGACCATACCCCAGCACGACCACACCCCAGCACGACCAGACCCCAGCACGACCCCACCCCAGCACGACCCCACCCCAGCACGACCATACCCCAGCACGACCACACCCCAGCACGACCCGACCCCAGCACGACCCTACCCCAGCAAGACCACACCCCAGCACGACCACACCCCAGCACGACCTCACCACAGCACGACCACACCCCAGCACGACCACGCCCCAGCACGACCACGCCCCAGCACGACCACGCCCCAGCACGACCACCCCCCAGCACGACCACCCCCCCAGCACGACCACCCCCGAGCACGACCACCCCCCAGCACGACCACACCCCAGCACGACCACTCCCCAGCACGACCACACCCCAGCACGACCACACCCCAGCACGACCACACCCCAGCACGACCACACCCCAGCACGACCACACCCCAGCACGACCCGATCGATAAATCACAGGGTGCGGAGCACCCCAGCACGAACCCACCCCAGCACGACCCCACCCCAGCACGACCCCACCCCAGCACGACCACGCCCCAGCACGACCACACCCCAGCACGACCACACCCCAGCACGACCACACCCCAGCACGACCCCACCCTAGCACCCACCCCAGCACGACCACACCCCAGCACGACACCCCAGCACGACCCCACCCCAGCAGACCACACCCCAGCACGACCGCACCCCAGCACGACCTTACCACAGCACGACCACACCCCAGCACGACCACGCCCCAGCACGACCACGCCCCAGCACGCGCCCCAGCACGACCACCCCCACGCACGACCACCCCCCCAGCACGACCACCCCCCAGCACGACCACCCCCCAGCACGACCACACCCCAGCACGACCACGACACACACCGCCTTGGTTGAGTGGTTGCCTGTCGTCGTGGAATGTTTCGTGGGGTGTCTCGTGGAATGTTTCGCGGGGTGTCTCGTGAAATGTTTCGTGAGGTGTCTCGTGGAATGTTTCGTGAGGTGTCTCGTGGGCTGTTTCGTGAGGTGTCTCGTGGGATGTTTCGTGAGGTGTTGCCCAGTTGGGTATCATGAAAACGTGTCCATGCTCCACATGTCTATATCCCTTTCCGGGTTCGTGGGTCCATCATGTTTTGCCCTCGCTCCTCCCCCCTCTCGGTCTCTCCGTGGGGCCCATCCCCGATTCGTTCGGGCTCGGTGTCGTGCTCCCCCTCCTGCTCGGCCCGATTCCGTCTCCTGCCCTTCGGCATTGTGCGGGACGTGCCGGCATTCATGTTTCCGCCCTTGGCGCTGCCGCGCCCCTGCGCCTCGACGCGCGCGCTGACGGGGGAAGGCGCTCCTGGGGAGAAGTGCAGCCTTCCCTCCGCTCCTCCCTCTCGGGCGTTGCCACAGCCAGGCGCCAGGTGGCACCAGCATTCCCAGGGAGGCGCAGACGGTTTCCAGAGCCCCCAGGAGGCCCCAGAGCGGCACGAGAAGCTGGGTCCACCTTGGGCCGGGACTCCTTCCGGTAACACCTGGCCCTCCGCCTCGGGCAGGCCGAGTGAGGATGAGGGTCACTCGCTACAGAGCGTTCCAGAACGACCTCAGAGCTCCGTGGAGCGCTCTCGGACGGCCACGGCGTTCGATGCATTCTGCGGGGCCGGCCCCCAATGGATCCCTTACAGGTCATTTCTGCCAAATCAAGGGTGCCCTGCTAGTGTCCTGTGTTAAGCAACCCATGCCTCCTGCACTCCTCTGGTAATGTGACCCCGGGAAGGGTCTTGTGTCCTATCGCGTGTCCTTTCCGATCAGCACGACTGTCGCAACTCGATGACACATGAAGCCGCTCAGAAAAGGAGGGAAACCGAGCCCCCCGCGCTCCCGCGCAGCACCTCGCTGGACCCGAAGGGCCACGCTGGCAGGCAGCCGCGCGCCGCGGATCGGAGACAACGACCTCGGCGACGGCGGCGACGGCGGCGGCGGCGGCGGCGGCGAGGACGAGAGTCGGAGCCCTGGAGTTTGGAGTTCAGTGGGGCATGCCCTTCTGCAGGAGGTAGACCCAAAAGTTGTACACAATACTCTGTGGAGTTTTGTCGGCCCCGCAAGCCCGACAGCCCCGCAAGCCCGTGCGTGGGTGGCCTACGTTTTCTGACTCGCGGTCGGGGCGTGTGCCTTCGCCGCCGAGCCTCGCGGTCGGGGCCTATGCCCCTGCCGCCGCGCGCGCCCCACAAGCCCGTGCCTGGGTGGTCACTGGTTTCGCGGTGTGCCTGGGTGGCCTTTGGTTATTTGTTGGTTGTGTTGGTTATTTGTTGGTTTTGTTGGTTATTTGTTGGTTATTTGTTGGTTTTGTTGGTCGCGATTTCTTGGTTTTATTGGTCGACGCCTCCCTCCGAGGGCGATTGGGCTCCGCAAGCAATGCCTTGGGCCTGGTGTTGAATATCTGTGTCTTCTTATCCAACATCCGCCTGCAGGAGGACAGGCCACACCTAACCCTAGAGTCAGAGGTTGAAACGGTATCCATACTGCTACCCTCCGCTCGTTTTCCCATTGATCGGGCCTCCCGGGAGACTCTCGCCGCCACTGCTAAATTGGCCTCGAGATCCTGGTCAGAACGCCCCCCTGGAGATGTCCGGGGAGTAGAGGTATCGGTACCTTTCGTGTTTCCCCATCGAGGTGGACGCCTTCACTGTTATCGGCGGTGTGCCTCCAACGAGGGAACATGATGCCGATGTCGCAGATGGTGGTGATCTTCGAGCCTCCTGGGTGGCTGGGGGATTACCACCAGCACCAACATCGAGGATCATCTTCCACTGGTGGAGGCAACTTCCTGCGTTGACGTTGGTGTTCATTTTCAGGCCTCGGAGAGCACGACCGTGGCGGCGGCGGCGACAAGAACAATCGCCGATCGCGGCGGCGGCGGCGACCTCCATGGCGATCGCTACGGTGGCGGCGACGTGGACGAGGCCGATGACGACGGCGACGCAATGCGGCGGTGGCGGCGGCGGCCGACGTCGGCGGCGACGGCGGCGGGGGGTCAGGAAGGGGAGCTGGGGTTCACCAAGGGGAGGTGGCGGACGAGAAGAGCGAGTGGGCAAGCAGGCCCACGAAGCGCCAGCAGATAGATCATGGGGCTGCTTTTGGGGGAGACGGAGCCACGTGGAGCAGGCGGGTGCTGTTGAAGGATGCGGTGGAGTTTGGCGGCGGGGGAGGAGGGTCGGGCGTCGGGAGGGAGGGGAAGGCGACGAGGAGGAGCAGGAGCTGGAGGGAGAAGAGGATGCGGGCGGCTGGAGGAGGAGGGTGGAGTGTGATGGCCAGGAGAAAAGTGGAGAAAAACGAGTGTCACGCGGAGGGGGATCAAGATTTGTGATGTTCCAACCTACTTTGTCGCCGGAAAGAATTTCGAGCACCAGAAAAGTACTGGAACTCGAAGGTTTTCACGTGTCGGGCCCTGGGAGACACTCGTCCGACACTGTTTTATCCGTAAGAGCTTCGCCTCCTGCCGCCGGCCCCCTCTCTCGGAGAATGGGCCATGGAAGAGCTAAGTCATGAGGCTTTGGTGCTGTCGTGCAGCAGTATCGGAACTTCATGCGAGGCCGATTCGCAATCGGCAAAACCAACTGATCACAAGAGGGGTTACCACACAGGGCGATTGGTAAGACGTGTATGGTTTACGAGCTTGGTTACCACACCTTGGGATTAAAGGGCCGAGGGAGTACTCGCAGTTTGGGTTACCACGCCTTGCGATGGATGTGCGTGAGGGGTGGCACCGAATTTCAGAAATGTGGCAAATCCCTGTGTTTTTGGACCCTGACCCCGCGGATCTGCGTGAGGGGTGGCACCGAATTTCAGAAATGTGGCAAATCCCCTGTGTTTTTGGACCCTGACCCCGCGGATCTGCGTGAGGGGTGGCACCGAATTTCAGAAATGTGGCAAATCCCCTGTGTTTTTGGACCCTGACCCCGCGGATCTGCGTGAGGGGTGGCACCGAATTTCAGAAATGTGGCAAATCCCATGTGTTTTTGGACCCTGACCCCGCGGATCTGCGTGAGGGGTGGCACCGAATTTCAGAAATGTTGCAAATCCCTTGTGTTTTTGGACCCTGACCCCGCGGATCTGCGTGAGGGGTGGCACCGAATTTCAGAAATGGTGTTTTTGGACCCTGACCCCGCGGATCTGCGTGAGAGGTGGCACCGAATTTCAGAAATGTGGCAAATCCCATGTGTTTTTGGACCCTGACCCCGCGGATCTGCGTGATGGGTGGCACCGAATTTCAGAAATGTGGCAAATCCCCTGTGTTTTTGGACCCTGATCCCGCGGATCTGCGTGAGGGGTGGCACCGAATTTCAGAAATGTGGCAAATCCCCTGTGTTTTGGGACCCTGACCCCGCGGATCTGCGTGAGGGGGGTCGATTTCGAGCCCCCCCAGCAATTCAGACAACGCGCCCGGGGGGTGCTAAAAAATCATGTTTGGGCCTCCCCCCCCCCTCGCGCGGTCAATCAACTAGTTACAGTAACCAGCAAGAAGCAGAACTGTAACACTGGAAACTGCAAGCTACAACTGGTACTGGAAACTGCGAAACCGTGCCTCGCAGCCTGGTGGCCCCACAAGGGGGCCGGCGGATTTCTTGAATGTGGTCCTTAAGTACGACGGGAGCAACATCAATAAAGACGAGGAGGTGGAGCAGGAGGAGGAGGAGGAGGGAGGGAGGAGGAGGAGGAGGAGGAGGAGGAGGAGGAGGAGGGAGGAGGAGGAGGAGGGAAAAGGAGGAGGAGGGAGGAGGAGGAGGAGGAGGAAAAAGAGGAGGTGAAGCAGGAGGTTAAGAGAAAGGGAGGAATGTCCAGAGGGGGACAAGGAGCAGCCGCCCTCCGCCTCCCCTCTCCGCCTTCCTCCCCTCCCCTCCGCCCCCCCTTCCTCTGCACGACCCCTGCGCTCCAGTCGGGCTTGTCTAGAGGAGGAACATTCAAGAATAGTCGAACCAGAGTTGTCTGCAGACGATGTGTCTACTGTTTTTGACAATTGGTCCATCTGTGTTGAATTGTTTTATTTTTCTTCCCAAATCCGCCTGTAAGAGGGCATGCCAGACCTAGCATTGCGTGGGCTACATGATAGGTTCCTGTATGTGCTTCCTGTTCCTTCCCCTCCCCTCGCCCCTCCCTCCTCCGCCCACCTCTTGACGGATCGCCGCCGCTCCGCCCGCTCCTGGGCGTCAGCGTTGTCTGTCGCCTGCCTAGGGCGACCTTCTCACTTGCTGCTACTTTGGGTCGCTCTCGGCGAAGACCTGCGGTGCAGGCGCAGCGCAGTGCAGAAGCTCCCGGTCCCCTCGCTGTGGGCCGCCTCCGCCCCGCTGCCCTGCCTTCCACTGGTCGGCGGTCCGTTACCTGTCTCGTTCTCCGCGCTTCTCTGTCCGTCGCCGCTTCGTCCGCGGAGTCATAGCTCTTTTTGAATCAGCGCTCACATACGTACTGTCAGCCCGTATCGTGAGGATGAGAGCGACTTTCCATGGCCACCCACACATCTTCGCACGTTCGGGCCCATACTTGGCAACTCTCGCTGGCCAACCTCGTTCGAAAAACGTTGACATGGCCCTCCAAGGCCCTTGCATCCTCGACGCGCATCCTCATCATACGGGTTGACTGTACGTGCGCTGGGCTAGAGAGGAGGAGATGGAGGAAGAGGAGATGGAGCTGGAGCAGGAGATGGAGGCGGAGGAGGACGAGGAGGACGCGGAGGGGGAGGGGGAGGGGGACCGGGATGGGGGAGGAGGAGGAGGAGGAGGAGATGGAGGAGGAGGAGGGGAGAGGAGGAGGAGGAGAGGGAGGGAGGGAGGAGGGAGGAGGGGAGGGGGGAGGAGGGAGGGAGGAGGAGGAGAGGAGGAGGAGAGACGAGGAGGAGGAGAAGGAGGAGGAGGAGGCGGAGGCGGAGGCGGAGGCGGAGGGGGAGGGGGAGGGGGATGGGGGAGGAGGTAAGATAAGATAAGATAAGACGAGGGCGGACGGCATCCAAGCAACCGACCGCGGAGATAAAACGGAGACAGATTAAACCGACTCCTCATCCTCCCCCGCACCCCGACGGGCGGCCTGCAGCTCCCAGTACGGGAGCGAGCCCACCGTGAGGCCGAAGCGGGCGAGGAGGGGCCCTCGCCCCATGGGAACCTGCCACGGCGGTCCCCTGGGGAAAACGGCTCTGGAGGCGGGCGGCGACACTCTCGCCTGGGGACGGTCGAGAATGGCCCTCGCCAAGTCCAGGAGATCTCCTGGGACGGGCCTCTCGAGACAGCCTACCCTCCAGCCTTTGTACTTGCTAAGCCACCTGGGGAAGAGCCCCGCGAGCAACCTCGAACGCTGCTGCTTGAGCCCCTTCCCCGCATTGTGACCGTGACATTCGCGGACAGCGAGCTCCCTGACCCCGCCCCACGCATAAGCCCCACACGAAATACAGCACACGATGCGTGGGGCGGAGACAACGGAGGCTCCCGTCTGATCAAAAACGTGGCACACACGCAGGTTGTGCTGAGACAGCCTCATCAAAATATTGAGCTCAGGGTCACACGGCCCCGCCTGGGCAGTGGCAGAAAGCACAGCCGTGAACCGCACAGACACGGGGGGAATGGGGCGCTCGAGGGGGCGGCCCTGGCGAGGGCCCGAACCAGGCACCAGGCGCTTATCAGGCAGGCCCTCCGAGTCCACCCATCCCCTCTCCCGCATCAGAAGCCCCTGCCGCCCAACCCACTGGCCCAACTCCCACCCCAAGAGTCTTAAACCAGCGATTTCACGGGCGGCCTGTTCGACCGATGGATGCTGACCTGCCCCTCGCTTCGCGAGGGCGTCGGCAATGGCGTTAGCCTTACGCTCCCAGTGAGTGGTGACACCTCGCTCCACATCACCCTCCGTGCAGTGGGCCTTCGTCTTATGGACCGCAAGC